TTTGGTTTGAGTTTCGATTGTTCTTATTATTCCGTTCTAACTTTCCCAAGTTGTACTTTTTGATACAGGTTGTCTGAAATCCTTTGCAGTTAAAAAGACTATTAATACAAAAAAAAAAATCTCATGATACCGAAATGGAATCGGAGTTGAAAAGGGCGAAAAGAATACATTCGAATATTTCGAAAATCTTCAGAGATGGGTCACGTTAAAGGAACATTTCAGTTGGATATTGTTATTATGAAGGAACTGGGGTCCAAAAGACGAAAGAATATTATAAAAAATCTACAGATATGGGCGACAATGATGGAATGAATCTGCAGATTTGAATGATATTAATGGAATGAATACGCTTAGGTATATTTATCGTGGATTACCTATCGATATAGAGAACCTAATTTCTGGTTTCGAATGGAAAGAATTAAGTTCAACGAAATTGTGAGCTTAGAATATGAGCATTTAAACATTGATGATGATGTAAAGAAAATATTGGATTATGATAGATACCAATTAGATTGGATTCCTTACGAAGTTGAGGACATTAAAGGGATCGGGAAAAGTGGTTATGCAACTGTATATCACGCGAAAAGGTCAAAAAATGTAAAATTGGAGGAGTTTATCTTCAATTATATTTACCGTTGCTTTTAAAGAATTTCATAGAAACAATTTTTAGACAAAAAATTATTGCGAAATCGGAGTTACCGTCTAAAGTATCCCCCATGTATAATACCCTCCCCAGCTATTGAATGGTTCCCTCTAAAATATCTGGATATAGCCGTTTATTCTATGTACCCAATACATACATGAATACATATTTTATTAAACCAAGGTACCCAAGCTGTACTCTATGAGTAAAATACCCATCAAAAATGGTCTATTTGTAAAATACCCCGGGTACTTGAGTCAGTGCTGTACGGTAAGAACTTTTCATTCATACAATGTCACGGTATATCGAGAAATGAAAATGGAAACTACATTCTCGTATTAAAATACGCAACGATGGGCTCTTTGTGTCAAAATTTTAATTTGGCATTATAAATGGAATGGAAAGATAAGCCAAATCTGTTGTTGAGTATATCTAGGACGATGCATTCCTAGGAAATCGGTCATCGAGACCTACACAACGGTAACATCTTGCAGGACAAACTGCATAGTGCGTACATCGCTGACTTTGGTTTTTCGATACAATATATATGAAACAAGATGATGAAATTTATGGAATTCTACCTTTTATTGCTCCGGAAGTTTTAAGAAAGGAACCGTATACCCGGCATCAGATATCTTTTCTTTCGGGTAATCGTGTGGAGATATTATAATAAACGATCAAGTAAATACAGTATTTTAATCAAGAACAAGTATTGGAAATCGTAATTGGAAGACGACTGCCGGTTAGCAAGGCTGCTCCAAAAATCTATGATATATGGAAAAAGTTGGCATCGGGATCCCGACAGCTGATGTTTATGTGAAACTTTTAAATCGTGGCGAGATGACGGACAAATATTTCAGAGTTAAATAAATTCGATCCCATCAGTCGATTTTAAAATCCGTCATCGATAACTTTAGCGGCAGTAAACTACATAGAAATGTAACTAGATCTAAATATTCTTTCTAACGATTTTTAAAAATTGATTTTTTTCTATGTTTGGTTGTGTTCAATACAAAATATAGGATAGAGATTTATTTATGATGTATAATAAGTTATTATTAAAATCTTTATTAACAACAAAGTTTAACGTAGTAAATGATTTACAATTGCTACGTATCTGATAAATTTTATGAATAAATCTTATCATTTTTATTAATAAAATAAAATCGTATTTTTAGAATGTATGCGATGGATGGATATTATTTGAAATGTTATAATTCCTTTAAGAATACTAATCTCTTAAAAGATTCGGTAAATTCGACCAATGGTCGAGTGTTAACGAAGATCATTGGGAAATGGACGAGCAAGCGAAGATTGACAATATCACGTGTGTGTCGGCCTATTTTATTATTGGCTGGCCCAAATTACGTAGTATGATTACAAATTTACAAATTTTTTTACTATATATAAGCTAATTATTAATCGACCTTCTACTTCTAGGCCGTATTATGTAAATTAATATTATCTAAAATAGGGTGTGGTATAAAAGCTAAATGTGCAATATAATTTTATACGTAATTGGGTGGGTGCAGCGTGATATTGTCAATCTTCACTTGCTTGTCCATTTCCCAATGACACTCGACCATTGGTCGAAATGAACTCTACAAGCTACAAATGACAATATCACGTGTGATTTGTGGAGTATTATGCTTTGTTTGCTTGTTCAAGTATTTTATTAGATATATGATTTTGTTCTATAGATTTCCTTATTTCTCTCTGATAAAACTTTTGATAGACCTCGTTAGACGACCAATTACTGAGAGTGAGTATGGTGTTAACATCAACGCCTGATTCTTGAGCTAAAATAAGCTGCTATCGCTCTAATATCTTTGGCTTTAGCGTTTGGATCAGCGTAGGTTAGTATATTCTTGAGCCACCCAGATATGGTATCTACTGAAGCTGGTGAATATGAGTTCATAGTTGATAAAAATAAGGCATCTGCATTGACTTTGCTTTTTCTCTATTCCTTGGTATGATCGAGCATTTCTAACACCGCTAAAGCAGGACATAATGAAGGCTTGTTATTATAAAATTCTACCATGATGGCTTTTTGTCTTGATTTTCTACCCGCATGTGCAATTGAAATTTTGTACTCCTTGGGGTTGATAATATTGAAAGAGAGTCCATTCTGTAGTGTAGTCATTGATTTTAATGATATTCAATGAAGATCACTTGGTCTCGAAGCTGTAGCTATTGCCAACAGGAATGCTGTTTTTCTGATTAAGTTTATCCCTTAAACCATATATTTTAGCGTTCAAATTTGTACGCTAAAATAGTTAAAACAAAGTAGATCCAAAAAAAATTTTTTTTTTATACAAAGCATAATTTAAATCGGTCACACTAACTTCTAAGAGCCCAGATTACTTACCAGATTCACAACTATGATGTACAAATCATGTAACCTAAACAAAAAAGCACAAATTTGTGTGGTAACCGTGAAATATATAGGCTATTTGCCCAAGCTTTTAGAAGCCATCTTAGCCGATTTGGCTTAGAAAATTGTAAATTTGACAATTGTGGTGTCACAAGATACCTACATATGGGACCTCCCACAGCAAAAGGGGGGATGAGCCAAAAAATTTGAAAATTTGTTCTTATGATAATTTTATTCTAATCAATTTGATTCTTCGAGATATTGAATTTTTTTAAAAAAATTTTTTTAGCCCATCCCCTCTTTTGCTGTGGGGGTCCCATATTTACATTCTAGTAATACAGATCAGCTGTATCTGATTTTCGGAGTCATAAACAAATTAATTTATTTAGAGTTTAAATAATTAAATTATTAAATAATGATGTAATAATAATAGCGCAATAAAGTAATGGTCAAAATAAGAGACTATAAAGTTTTGTATTCTTTATTTATTTTATTTAATATTATGAAATTCTAAAAAGCAATTTCAGTCTATATTACAACAAAGTGGCTCGTTGCAACCAACGCACCAAAGGTTACTTCGGTTTGGTGATTTACGGCTCATTTTAATTTTTTTTTGGTTTGTCAACCAAGAGCATCACCAACATGCTTCCCGATCTTTTCTCCATTCTACAAGATGGTTTCCAGGTTCCAACTAACTATTGGAAAGCTTAAAATGCTTGGTTACTTTTAGCCTTTTTGGGTCTTCTTTTTTTTTCATGCTATCCCTTAATTGAACTTTACTAGTATCATTAGTGAAGTTTACAAGAGCCCAAACAAGCTCAAGATGGAATTCTCTGTGTTCTTGTGTTGATCCTAGGGTTCTGGCGATGTGGTAAGAGTTGATTATTGCAGTGTCTAGTAGCCAAAAAAAGAGGGCACTCAGTTTCTTTATGTTGTTTTTTGGGTGCTGTAATACGATCTTAGTTGGTCTGCCACATCCACACTGTTTATGTTATTATTATAATTGTCAATTATTTTTGGAATTTTCCTTAGACGCATTAGTGCTTGTTTTTCTTGGCCATTATCTTCTCGCATTACTTCCCATTCTTCACCAATGAAGCTGTGGATTATTGAAAGCATTGTAAACAGGTCTATTATCTTACCAAAAAAAAGCTAAAACACCATTTATTACCACTCCAGAACGAACATCCCAGTCAAGTTTAACATTTTTATCTACCCTTAACTTTTTTGGAAATCCAGAGAAATTTTTTCGTACAGTTTCACAGACACCAATTCCGATTTGTCGAAGATGCTGAAAAAGAGCAATGCTGGAAAAATAGTTATCTATAAATACATTGTATGGAAATTGCTAGTATGGTAGTTGCTCAGTAAGATGGAGAACTAGGTTTCTGATTTGACTAAGACCCTTAACTTTATTAATATTACTTGATAAAACACGCAATGTTGGTAAAAAAGTGTATGTATATCCTGCTTTACAGAGTGATAATATCTTGAATCCCTCTAGTATCGGTTTGTTTTTTATTCAGACTATATGAATGCTTCTGCCAAAAAAACGAACCATTATTTCATCAATTGAGACTTTTAAACCTGGCGTATAAAAACGTTTCGAAGTATCTCAAATGTGGGAAAGCAATAGTTCCAATTTCTTAAAGTAATTACCAATCTCTTTGTGAGGAGGGAAGACGTGCAAAAACCTTTTAATTTGTTCAAAGCGAAACAATGAAATTTGCTTTGAAATATGATGGATAGGAGCTTTGGGTCCTCGTTCCAGTACTGTTCAAGAGAGGGTGACTTAAAAGTCCTTGATAAATAACTAGAGAAACCCAAATAATTAACTCTTTACAAGTTAAGTTCTGCCATGGCCTACTAGTAGTATCTGTATTCTTGGTTACTGCATATAAATTCATATTAACAACCATTGCATCCAGTATGGTTGTAGTAAAAAAAAGAAAAAAAATGTCAATTGGCTTAACCACACTATTGTTAAGGTGGAATGGCAACTGAACAGACACATGGCGCAGTGGTCTTGAATGAATGAACAGCTTCAAAATCTGATGAAGGTGGTGAAAGCTCTTGTTGTACAGTTTTTACTAATTTTTGTTTTTTTTTGTAGGTTTTTTTAGTGTTTGCTTCCATGGTTTCTTTGTTGTCACTACTTTCTGAATCCAAATTGTCCAAGGAATGCTGGTGAAAGATTAAGAGTAGTTCGTACTCTTCTTCACTATTAGCATTTGAATCTACATTAAGGTGAATTGAACTTGAAGACGACGTTCTTGACCTGGACATAGAGGACGACTCAGCTACAGGTGTACTAGACATATTCAGTTCTTTTTTTTTTTTTTTTTTATGTTTTTTTTATGTTTTTTTTTTAAAAAGGCATTTGTTATTTGAGTTTGTAAGTAATTAATTGTATTTATTGTCATTCGCATTGGCTTAATGAAAATACTTCAGTTTAATTTTTAGCAGCTATAACATTTTTTTAACTAAAAAATGAATTTTGATGTGCAAGAAAAAATAAATGATTATCAAGTTACCCAAATGCACATTTTTGGATTTATATTGTATAACGATAGTAATAAAAGTAGAAGATACTATGAATGACAGATATGATCAGCATATGGCATGCTTCGATTCTAGCTTATAAACAGGGGGGTCAAAGCTTAATAAAATTCTGTGCAATTAACCAAAAATAGGGCAAAAAAAATTTTAGCGTACAAATTTGTACACTATACGGTTTAAGGGATAATTAACATATCCTTGTTTGATCTCAGAGAAGTAATATGTTTGAATGAAGGTGTTATGTTGATAGCATCTTCAGGTAGTAAAGGTGGTGAATTCTTCTTGTAAATTGCTAACATTAATTTTGCTACGGCAGGATATCATCCGACTTCACTATCTTCGATGGGTTTATAGGCCTCACTAATAGCTGTATGATATGAGGCTATAGTATTGTACACCATACCTTCATTATTCATGTTGGTTAAAAAATCTAGTATAGGTTTTATATCACACTGAATGAGATCAATCAATAATTCTTGACACCAAACCAACCATTTTCGAAGAGCTAATTAGTGCTACAAATCGTCAAAAACTTTGCAATCAATTAGTTGTCAACTTTTTAATTATTTGATTTTTATTCAATTTTTGTTCAATTTTTATTCGATTTTAATATGAGTAGCCAAAAATTTTTCAATCGATTAGTTGTCAACTTTTCGATTAGTTGCGATTTTCAATTTTTGATTTGTAGCACTAGAGCTAATCCAATAGTACTGTTTATTGATCTTTCAATAGCTTCTTTCACCAAGTTGCAAGTTTTTTCTGAAAAACCCTCCTTTTGAAGATTTTGCCTAAGATATAACAAATGAAGATTTTTCACTTCAGATTGTAAATGAGTTGTTGGAGACTTATATGTCCTGGCATAAATAGCCTCTTGTCCCTTATCAATAGTGGAGAATCAATTAAAAGGTCCAATAGTATCAAAAACTACAACACAGTCATCTAATACAGGGCTACTACTACTACTGTTGCCTTGTCTTTTATTACCTTGGAGAGAATTTTGTGCATTAATATCCAAGGGGGTTGGCCCAACCCTTCTGTATTGACTAATCTTGCATTAGAGCGTCTACTGCCTTGCAACCTGAATCTGGATATCTTGAGTAATAATCAGTAGTTGTGTATTTATCCTGTTCACAAACAGGTCCACTTGAAATAAGCTCCACATACTTTATATCTTCTGAAAAATTCTGGGCTTGAGAATCCAGTTGTGATAATCGAACATTCTTCTTGAGGCTAGATCTGCAAGTAGATTCTGTTTTCCCAGAATATGTTAGGCTATGATCTTGAGATTCTGTGATAGGCATAACTGCCATATCTTCTTTGCTAAATAACTGAGTTTTGGTGAGATTGTCCCTCCCTAATGATTGAGGTAAGAAACATATATTATATTGTCAGTTCTTATTAATACTGCTTGGTTCTTGAGATCCTTTAGTGCCAAAAAGGCATAGTGAATTGCTGTGAGTTTGAGTATGTTTATGTGTAAGTGGCTTTGTTGTTTGTCCCAGTAACCAGAAAGAAGCAAGGTTCCTTGGGCTATACCCCAACTTTTTGCTGATGTATCTATGTATATGATCGTTGTGAGTAAGTCTAGAATTATGCTTGTGCCATTCTATTTTTTAAATTTTGTATCTACCAAGTCAACTGTTGCTGAGCTTCCACTGAAAGAATTAGATAGGAATTCCATTCTGCATGTTTCAGGGCTGCGTTTTTGTCTCTTAGAAGTGCTCTTGTCATTAATTGTACTAGAAAGATAGCTCCAATAGCTGCTAAAAGTTTCCCTATAATTGCAGCTAACTTTTTTATATGAAGAAATTGTTTTTTGAGGGCAAGTTTGCATTCTCTAATGATATTTGATATCTTTGCTTTTGTAGAGATAATGTCATCAATTTTGAATTTATTGTAAATCTAAAATACTGAATTTTCTGAGTAGGTGTTAATATTGATTTGTTGTTGTTTATAATAAATCCAAGCTTGGTTGGCATTTGGTAGACTTGTTTTGTTTGTAGTTTTAACTTTTCTTTTGCTTTCGCACATATTATAATTTCGTCGATATAAGCTATCAGTCTTATACCCATAGATCTTGCTCATGCAATCACTGGCTTGAGATCTTGGTAAATATCCTCAGGCTGCTGGTCAATCCAAAGGGTAAACATGTGTAACAGTATCTGTGTTGAGCAAATCGAACGTAAAGTATAGTTGTAAGGATAATAGAATATGTAAAAAGGCGTCTGAAATATTAATGGTTGTGAAGTAATCATTTCTCCTAATAATAGATTTTATGTGTTCTATAGTGTTCATTTTGAAGTATTTGAATTGTACAAAATTGTTCAAGTTCCTTAAATCGATTATGACTCTGTTTGATCCTGATTTCTTTGGGATTGTAAATATTTGTGATACAAAACATGGTGCCTTTGCTGATACTTTGATTATTGCACCCTTCTTTTTTAATTCGTGCAGCTCTGTCAATATAGTTCTTTGTTCTTTCTCTGTTCTGACAATGTCTTTGTATAGTGGTTGTTTCTTTAGTGTGGAATAAAAGACTATTCCGGAGTGTAGCCATTTTTTAAGATAGAGGTTATCCAAGATGGCCCAAACATACATTCCCATTGATCTGTAAAATGTAATAACCTGGTGGCTATAGGCCCTGTAGTATTGAAAGGTGCTTTTTTTCTTCCTGTGTGAGGTGGCCTGATTGTAACATCTGACCGCCTCTTTGACTATTTCCCTATTTATTTTGATTATGATTGTAGAACCAATAATTTCCCTTACAGTTGTGGTTATTTGCATTATTAAATCTAGAATAAGGTGGCCTTGTGAAATTACTAGTATTGCTCCTGTTAAACAAGGCATGATTCTTGTATCTAAGAGCCTGAGTAATGAATTTGTTGGTGGCATTCTTATTCTTAATGAGAGATTTGAGGTCTTGTCCAAAAACTTCCTTGTTCTCATTAGCTGGGTTGTAGTTAGGAGATATAAACCTAATAGCACTGTCCTATATGACAGGGAGTCCAGTAACAATGCACTAGTATTTCTAAGTGATGCTTCAATTGCTGTCCAAGCCTGACATGCTTCATGTTCAGATTCTGGAGGTTTTTTGTATAAACTGACTTGAGTATATTCTCAACTGGTCATAAAGCCACAGAGGTTCTGTAAGATATTCTGGATAAAGTTTTGTCTGTTTCTTTAGCATGGCTAGGTAATAGTTTCCACATGCATTTGTCCATAACAGATGGGTTGTGTCTGATGTTTGCATTTTGTGGTTTGTTTTTGAGTATAATAGACCTTTTCTCTCTTGAAAGAATGTTGTCTTTATGAATTTTTGTGGGTAAATGTGCCATTTCCCCATGAGGGTCCAAGCTGTTTGGTGTCCAACTCAGCATCGTATGAGTTGGAATCTGCATTAAAGACACTGTGGTTTGAAATGTCATCATTAACATCCTCTCTGAGAATGTCATAAAAATCATAATTTTGAGCATTTAAGTTGTTGGTTTCTGTATTATTGTTGTTATTAATGTTTTGTGTTTCTAGGTCATGTGTGAATTCGTCTGTCATATTGAGGCTGTTACAAAATAGCGTGAATGGCAGCTAAAATAAAACGGCCTAGAAGTAGAAGGTCGATTAGTAATTAGCTTATATATAGTAAAAAAAAAAAAAATTTGTAAATTTGTAATCATACTACGTAATTTGGGCCAGCCAATAATAAAATAGGCCGACACAAATGTGATATTGTCATTCGTAGCTTGTGAAGTTCATTTGTATAGTTTAAATATCCATATTTCAAAAATTTTCATAAACGTTTTCCTTATAAATTTTAATAAATTAGTGACGACTGGTTCTAACTTGTTATAGTAAAAGTCAATTTTTAAACTTAAACTACAAATTTCTGTTAATTTTTCTTGAATATGTAATCAGTCTTCCAAGGTACTATCAATAGTAACCTTTGGGATACCACAACCACTTCGCAATTTATACCTAAAATACTTTTTTCATAAAATCTAACAAAATAGTTCTTTTGACAGTAAGTTATTGTAAAGAAAATCACATTTGAAAAATTGTTTTAAATCCTCTTTTTTTTTTTTTTTTTTTACAATTGTGTCAAAAAAAACTAGTAATCGCTTGTGACTAATCGCCAAAAATATTTCTCAACCAACAATAACGTAGTCAGCATTCTATTAGCGCTTGGCACGTCCGTAATCTGTGACATGTTAAGCCACTAATTTCAATCACTATATTCCCAGCGTAAGGCTTGACTGTTATAAACTATTAACAAAAAATTCCTGAAGCAAGAATTTAAAAACTTATAAATTCAAAAGTTGCCTTTTGGTATTAGCTAAACAAATATTTAATAAAACCAATAAAAAACTTTTAATTTAAAAAATAAATAACGAATACCACATAAATATTCCTCTAGTATATTATAATTACTTTAAGCAAGGCAAACAATATGTCGTTTCTTTAACCGTGCTAATTATTCGAACATATTCTTACTTAAATGATACTTTTTTTACTTAATTCTACCTTTTTTGAATGAAGATAACTCAAAAGAGTTGAATTCTCCTTCCATATCATTTATTCATGAACTCATGTTTTCGCAGCACTTTTGATTAAACAGTCGTGTCCAAATTCATAAAGAAAAGTGTTTGGAAGATTTTATTTTTGTTACATTATGCTGATCTTTGAATTTATTTTGACAGTTTGAATCCTTTAGAATTTTACGATTTCTTTATAATTGACAATTATATATAAATCGATCGATCGATCGATCATTTTAATTTTACTGATAAAAATCTGATCATAATAAAATGATCAATGTAATTAACATAGTTTTGATTTACTTAGTTGAGTTACCACCCTAGTACGTACGTACTTACTTACATAACAGATAAATAACAAGAAAATTAACAATAGGTATCGGTTCTACAAGTTTACAGGGATATTAAACAGCTCAGCTTTAGTCTGTTTTTAAGTTGATTTGAGTCGAGCTTTTTTTTAAGTCGACTCTAAAGTCCACTTCAATAACCACATGATTTCTGAACAAATACATCATCAATTTATGAAATTTTATGTACATACAACTTATACATTGAATTATATTAAACCAATTTTATTTACCTCATTATATGATATTTCCTGAGTCTGATACTTAACTCTTAGAGCTGAATCAGTTCGGACCAAACGTTTAACAACCCTGATTACATGGTCTCGGACCAGATAGGTTTAAAAACCGAAAGATCTTTCATCTAGGTGCTGTGAAAAGGGACAAAATTAACAAAAATTAAAATTAAAATTTAAAGGCTATACTGCAAAATTTTATTAATACAACAATATTTATTTCTTAAATGAAAAAAGTTCTTAAGTTAATTTTGAATTAGCTAGTCTCAAAAAAAAAAAAAAATTATTTTGACTTGGTCCCTTTTCTCAGTATTTAGCTTACATTACTAACTTTACAGTCATTAAGATTTTTTGTACTAAATATATGAAGCATTTTTAATGTACGTGACTCTGGTTATAATGAAACTATTCAAAATTACTAGTAAAAAAATTAAAAGTTTTATTGCCCAGAAAAATACGCTATAACAAAATTTCACTTTCTTAAAATCTATGTTTTACTGTATCCCGTAAGCAGAAATGTGTCGTGAATAGTATATCTACTGTATAGTACGTATACTGTAGTATGCATAGATAGTACATAAGAGATTACTACAAATTTTTGCCAAAGAAACTTGTGATTTAATTGGCTAAATACATCATTTAGTAAATAGGCAGATCTAATGTTAAATAGTGATATAGTACTTTTTTAACTGTTCGAACTGTTCATTTTCAAACCAGCAAAATGCCACGACAAAAACAACAAGCACTGGTAGTTACATTTTTTTGCTTGACTGTTTAAATTGTTTATACTGTTTACAGAACAAGCAAATAAAAGCCACATAAAAACAGCCTAATACAGGTAGTTATATTTTTTTGCTTTGCATTCTGAGTCGAACGCCTAATTTTAATATTTTGACCCGATACGTCAAGATTTTTTATTTATATTTATAAAGCTAGTCTCATCAATTTGATCTTCAAAATTGGGTCTTGTTCGAAATGTATAATAAAATGTGTGAAAGTTCCGATATAAAGGAAAACGATATCAGTCATGAAATAATAACATATTCTCCTAGTTTTGAATCATCGATTCATTTTAAAAAATGTAAGTTATACATTTATTAAAATAATTCAATATTTCTTGCTAAAGCTGATAATTTTTGTTTTTTTTTTTAGCCTAAATCTGACTCATATAAACAGCGTATTTAGAATATTTATAATTTTTATATAGAGGTACAGAAGCTTTTATATTGTTCTTGAAAAAGTGCGAAATAAAAATTTGAAAATAAATAAATAACTAAATAAATGACTTTTTTTATATTTATTTTAGAGGATTACTTAAAAACAAAGAAAATATGATTACTGTAAAGTCTTAGATCATTCATCATGAGCGATATTGAAAATTTTTGCCGTAATTTAAAACAAATAGAAGTTGGAAAGGAATCTTTTTGAGAAAATTTAAGGAAAAAAACATTTTAAATGAAAGCGGTGCCGTCAATAATGATGACTCGGGTTGATTCTACCAATCTGCCATATCTATGTACTACGTATATATGGTGCATTTCATAAGTTTAAATGGGCATACTTATTCCTGATAACAATCACAAACCTAAAATATTATCAGAATTTTAATTGTTAAACAAGAAAACAAACAAAACCACTAAATTGTGTACTTTGTTATATGACATAATTCGATGAATTCATAAAATATTCTAACATTTCGATATTCCTTGATCTACGTGGGATAGTATTCCCCAAATTACAGGCAGTCCGAACCATAATAACCAAATAAAAATTAACAATGATAGCTTCAAACTTGACCGCCAGGTGCGGAAAAACCGCACAAAATTTCAAGTATTTGCTGTAGTTACCTCAAAATGTAACTTAAAATTATATGTATACAAGTATTTATTAAAACTTGGAATTGAGCATTGTTTGGTCACAAACTCTAGATTTTTAAGCATAATAAAAATCTTGACCGAATATTCGAATGTTTATCAAATATAAAAAGAAAGTTAAAGCGATATTTGATTTATCAGTTGTTCTAATAATGTTTTAGTATACAATTTACATGAACTTATAATTCATTGATTTCCATTTATAAAAACAATAATTCTAAATATTACATTTTGCAAAATAACTTTGGATTTGATAATGTTCCTTTGCACTTATAACATTTAAAGCGTCCGAAAATAAGCGTTCTATTAATGTGTTTGTCGCAGGAATTATAAGAAACTTTCGTGCCATTTCGCTTAAAATTGGAAAATGCCGTTTTGTAAAGATTGCCAACTAGGATCATTTTTAAACTCACGTGCTTCTAGTTTTTTTTTTTGGAATTATCAGTAATAGCCTCTTCTAAGTTCAATCTTAGTTCTTTACAAGCTATTAATGCAATTATAATCGTCCTCTTCGTTACAAAATATGCACCTGACCTTTCACATGATAAGTGCTAGTTATTAGCTCTTACGTAATTAAACATTTATATAAAATGATATTAAATTAAATAAAAATAAAAAAAAATAAAACGTTCATTTATAAAAGCTAGTGATTTTCATTCAACTTACGGTGTTTCGTCCAATGTTCGTAAAAAACTTGAAAAACTATCAACGGAAAACCTGTAAAAATGTCCAAGCTGCTATGAATATTACTACTCATAGAATAAACAGCAACAAATCAAAATTGTGAAACTTATAGTACTACTCGGCACAAACTTTTATATTTATTTTATATTTATTATACACTATCGCTATACATTTTAATTTAGATTTAGATAACAATAATGAGCCGAAGAAAGTGATTAAAGTGATACTGACGGCAATGAAGTTAACAAATGAATACGATAATGAAAATATTGATACGAATTATGATAAAAACGATGAGGAGCAGGCCAATTCACTTACACGATCTCGATTTCGGTTCCCTTTATTCCTTTGTTTATTCCACAAGCAAACTCAGCAAGACGATACGGTTAAAGAATTGGTTTTTAGTGGTAGGCAATTCTTTATTCAAGAGTGATTTATAGGTAGATCAACGGATAACTCTTTCTGAAGTTAACTAATCAGATCACAAAAAACTAACAGATAGTTACTAAAATTCAATAATATAGAAGATTAAATCAAATTCCATGTTTTACTTATGTCAGTTTGAAAGTTTTATCAAAAATTTATAATTATCAAAACACAGTTAAATTTTAACTTTAAGAACCTTATCGGGAACGGTACGATCTATAAGAAACAGTATTTTTGCATAATATTAACAAAGTTACGAAGTAATTTTTTTTTTTTTAGATTAAATATAAAATCCAATCACTTTTTAAATTTTAAAAGAAATGGCTTCGTAACTTGTAGAGCTATAATATCGGTCTTTGGAAAATTTTATCCTAAAATATTCTATTTAAATTTTGTGGAAAATTATAAGCAATTAAAAATGTTAGATATTAAGTTTTTATATGATACACATATAGTTTTAATTTACAAAGTATATCGTACATTCAAATGTCTCGGCATGTAAGCTTTGTATAAATAATTTATTAAATAACTTTATTGTATTCTAATTCAATAGATTCAATGCGAATATTATTATCTGAAATAAATTCATTTACATTATTTATTTCAACAGATTCATTCAGTTTCTGATCAATATAGCTAATAAATTTGCTACTATGAATTGTATTACCGTCAATATCATAACTAATGTTTTTTATTGACTTTTCTTCATCATATTTTAAAAATTCAGATAAAAATTCAGGACTATTTCTCCAATTTGTTATAGTTTCACAAATTTCTAAAGCTGTTGGACGTTTTTTTGGATCATTATCCCAACACTTTTTTAAGAGATCTACATAAAATTGTGTTGTATTTTTAGGGATAGTTGGCCTTAGTCCATTACAAATTTCTATTGCCAAGCTTAAATTATTGTGTTGATTATTTTCATGATTAGGAAATACAACATTTCCTGAAGATATTTCCCACATAATCATTCCAGAAGAATAAATATCTGATGCTTTACTGAATAGTTTTCCTTGTAAAGCTTCAGGAGCAACATATGGTAATGCTCCATAAATTCCTCCAGATTCTGTATCTAATGATTTATTTACTGATCTTGCAAACCCCAAATCTCCAATATAAGCATTATATAAATCATTTTGTAATATATTACCGCTGTGTAAATCGCAATGAATAATATCATATGAGTGAATTAATTGAAGATCAAATGCGATATATGATAATAATTCCAATTTTTTTTCCCATTTCATTTGTGCTATAGTATAAAGATTCTGACGCAAGGATCCCATTCGAGCGTACTGAATGACCAAGATATAATTACCAGTAACCTCATCTTTTGATACTCCATGACATTGCAAAAATGTTGAATTTTTACTTCCAATATCAAAATATGTATTTACCTTTAAATTTATAAGTATTAATAAAAATAAACAAATTTAATAAACATTGTAGCAATAAATATTTACCTCTTTCATAAGCTCTTTACAGTTAGTTTTTGATCCATGAAATAATTTAAGCGCAACATATTCTTGGATAATA